ATTAACGCTGTCTTGACGTCAAGACTGGCAATTTGGGATTCGGACAACCTGTGCAGCCAGATCCATCAACTTGAGACGTGGGGCTTCCAGAAGCCTGCAGAGCGTAGTGTCATTGTGTTGTTTGGCTTGACATGTCTTGACGGTTACATGTTGGGAGATGTTGGGAGGGCTTCAATCCAGCCGTGAGTTTTCGGAAGCATGGTGCGGCGACATACTACATCGCTCCCAGTTGCTTCGTGATCAGTTTCAGAGGCTGCGGTGGTGTTTCTGTGCTTTTCAGCGACACCTGGTTTGAAGCAGTCGCAGGAGATCCGTAGTCTCGGCTTTGGTGCCATGAATCAAAGGTAGTTCCCTCATTCGGTTTGGCGGGTGATGCTCAGGTGCCGAACTGCGTCGGCGCCTTCGCCCATCCGTGCAGTCCTCAACAGAAAGCCCGTAAATGCCATAGATGATCCCCAAGCTCTGAAGCTGCAGCTTGATTGTGTCGGGAATTTGTGCAACGTGAGGCCAACGTCGGCCTCATACGCACCTGGGCAATGATTTGTCTTCAGTTTTGGCGGTATTTGGTACTGCAGTTACCCTTTCTTGGCGTGAAGACTGGCAATTTGGGATTCGAACAACCTGCGAAGCCTTCAGAGCGTTGTGTCATGAGACTAGCTTGCATTAACGCTTCTTGAGGGTTACTTGTTGGGAGATGTTGGGAGGGCTTCATTCCAGCCGGGAGTTTTCGGATCCGTCCATGAAGCGGACTAAGTCGTTCCCAATTGCCTAGAGAGCCCAGAGGCTACGGTGGTGTTTCTGCGCTTTTCAGAGACGTCTGGTTTGAAGCAGTCGCAGGAGATCTGTAGGTCTCGACTTTGGTGCCATGAATCAAAGGTAGTTTCCTCATTCGGTTTGGTGAGCAATGCTCAGGCGCCGCCGCACTTCGCCGGTGCCTTCGTGACCACTCCGTGCAGTCCTCAGCCTTGTGCAGGCAGAGTGGTTTTACCAGCTCAGTTGGGCAGAAAACCTTTAGATGCCATCGATGGTCCCCAAGCTCTGAAGTTGTGACCCGATTCTACAGCTGAGTTTACGTACTTGCGGAGAGTTTTGCAGAACGTGCAGTTGAACGCATTCACGCAACTAGTCGTTGACAGTGCTTCAGCGGTCCGAGGCCTTCGTCATCCGGCGGTTCCCCGCCGGATGATGAAAAAGAGCTCAGATCAGAGTCAGAGACATGAAAAATCATGAGCAAGGACCGATGGGATTCAACGTGTGAACATTTAGCATGATGTTGTTGCCGTTGCCGCTGCTTGTGGTTGTTGTGGTTGTTGTGGTTGTTGTGGTTGTTGTGGTTGTTGTGGTTGTTGTGGTTGTTGTGGTTGTTGTGGTTGTTGTGGTTGTGGTGGTTGGGGTGGTTGGGGTGGTTGGGCTGGTTGGGGTGGTTGGGGTGGTTGTGGTTGTTGTGGTGTGTTGTGGTGTGTTGTGGTGTGTTGTGGTGTGTTGTGGGGCGTTGTGGGGCGTTGTGGTGCGTTGTGGGGTGTTGTGGTGCGTTGTGGTGCGTTGTGGTGCGTTGTGGTGCGTTGCGGTGCGTTGTGGTGCGTTGTGGTGCGTTGTGGTGGGTTGTGGTGTGTTGTGGTGTGTTGTGGTGTGTTGTGGTGTGTTGTGGTGTGTTGTGGTGTGTGGTGGGGTGTTGTGGGGTGTTGTGGTGCGTTGTGGTGCGTTGTGGTGTGTTGTGGTGCGTTGTGGTGCGTTGTGGTGCGTTGTGGTGCGTTGCGGTGCGTTGTGGTGCGTTGTGGTGTGTTGTGGTGTGTTGTGGTGTGTTGTGGTGTGTTGTGGTGTGTTGTGGTGTGTGGTGGGGTGTTGTGGGGTGTTGTGGTGCGTTGTGGTGTGTTGTGGTGTGTTGTGGTGTGTTGTGGTGTGTTGTGGTGTGTTGTGGTGTGTTGTGGTGTGTTGTGGTGTGTTGTGGTGTGTTGCGGTGTGTTGCGATGTGTTGTGGTGTGTTGTGGTGTGTTGTGGTTGTTGTGGTCGTTGTGGTCGTTGTTTTGGTGGTGGTGGTGGTGGTGGTGGTGGCGGTGGTGGTGGTTGTGGTGGTGGTTGTGGTGGTGGTCGTGGTGGCGGCCGTGATGGCGGTCGTGGCCGTTGTGGTGGTGGTGGTGGTGGTGGTGGTGGTGGTGGGTGTTGTGGTGGTGCTCTCTTGGGTTTGCAAATGTCCGCGCGCCTGCGAGCACTCTGTGCGTGCGCTTGTGTTTGCTTGTGCGCAGGCTTGCTTGCCCAAGTGCTTGCATCGTTGCACGCGTGCCTCCTCCCATGCCTGCTCGCGTTGCGTGCGTGGGACGTGCTCAGTCTTGGAGCACGCGCCTTGGAATGCTTCCATCTATGTGAGTGTCGATTGCGCTGTAAGCGTTGCTTCCTTGTCACAGCTACTGAGGGAGATGCGCCTGAAGCGAGGCCCGTCAGTGTATGCACGTCTCTTCATGCGTCGCGCTTTTCTTTTTTTTTTCTCTCTCTCTCTCTCTATCTATCTATCTATCTATCTATCTATCTATCTATCTATCTCTATCTCTCTCTACGCGCCGCTCGCCTACGAACATTCGGGTTGCATGTCAGCGCAGCAACTTTCTACTGGGTGGGAGCGTGTCGCAGTTGTCAGAGCGTGTTTGTTGGGAGGTAAAGTGAAATGTTCAAATTCAGCCAAAAGATGCCAGCCAGCATGTTGACAGCCGGTGGATGAAGTCTGGTGGGTCCTGACGTGCGAGTGCACCCCTGCATTGGCATGCGAGCAACAGGTTGCACCATTCAACGCAGACGAAATAGTGACGTGACAATGCGGTTTGCTGCATAGCTTGGGCACGCGGGTATGAACCTGCGATCTGGTCGTGTTTTCGTTGTAAGTATTTTGTGTTCACGTGGCCCAGCACGCCTTTCAAGCTTTGTGGCAGGACAGTCTGCGTCGGACCGGACTACACGACTGACGGCGAGTCGAGTCAAGCGCCGGACCGAAAAAGAAGCCTGATTCGCAGGATTTGTAACATGAGCGGTTTTGTTTGTGGTCCCAGACCTGCAGCATTTACGTCGTCGGTAGCATTTACGTCGTCGGTTGCAATGCCCAACTCAGCCTTGGAAAGTCTTTGACAGACTTGCGTTGTGAGATGGCTTTAGGGCTGGGCTTGCTTCGGTCTCCAAGTCGCATGTTGGATGTGTTTGCTTAAAGAGACGGATGCCGCGAGATTGTAGTTGAATCTGGTGTCACGATACTGGCCGGCCATCCGTGTCACTTGGTTTATCGCAATGTGCGCCGGAGATGGGTTTGGGTATTTTTGGGTGCTTGGTGCTGGAGGTTGGGGTGTTTTTGCTTGAAGGTTCGCGCACGGGTTTTTGTAAGTTTATGCGAAGTTGTTGTTTTGAAATATATTGCATAGCGCAGTTGCATCACAGGAACGGGGGAGCTGACAGCTTTCGCGTGTGGAGCTATAAAACATGCAGCAACAATAAACGACTCCCAGTGTATTGGCTCACCCCCTTTAGTCACTGAGTACCGGTCCCAGCTAGTTCATTCGGCACATGGCTCGAATTTGGGTCGCGAGGTTGCGCGGCTTATGAGTTCCCAGCACTGTCCAATCTTGGCAACTTGCATGCTGCGAGGCCTGGGGTGTATTTGGTCTTGTGGCGTACTTCTGCTACGGTGTGGCCAAAAGTGCCAGGAGCCCAGATTGGATCATTGGATGGTGCGTGTTTCATAGTGGGCAAGGAAGTAGTGCATGATGACATCGTGACGTTTTTGAGCAAGCTGCAGCATGTCAGTGAAGGATCCTTACGGGTGCATGTGTTCGTTCCAAGCACTGCGCCGTTTCCAGCGGATGACATTTTTCAAACAAAAGCCGATGACTTGGTTTGTCATGCTAGACCGTCTCCATGTATGCTGCTGGTGAAGTCTCCGGCTTCGCAACTTCAGCTTGCGTCGCCGTGGTTTCGAATAAACTTGGGGGGGAGCACGTGCAACCGTGCAAGCGCTTGGATTGCGCAGGAAGTCTGGGGCTGGGTGATGCTCCGCTTCTTCGCATATGCAGGGGCCCCATTGTTTTGAGAGTCCGCGCAACATCCTCTACCCCGAGCACGTTTTAAGCTCACGCTTGTCACAGAGCACCCTCGACTTGAGAGCTGGGAGCTCTGAAAACCCTGACCCTGCCGGATGCCCAAGCCACACTGAATCTGACACCCCTGAATATTATTGGATCCTTGAACCAGAACCCACACCCTGATCTTAAGCTTTTCACCATACTCGCCCGAAAGTTTCATTGGGTAGTGCATCAAACCGCGGCTCAGCTATTGCTTGACACAAGAGGCGTGTTGAGTCCCTCCAAAGCAGTGCGATCGTCCAGAAGAGGCTGGCGCCACGTTGTGGGAACACTGAGGCACCAGCATGCTTGCTAAATGCTACCTGCCCAACGTCAGTGCTCGACGCGTGCGTTCGGAACCCTGACTTTAAAGCCTCACGAAATCCCCAAAGAGATGTTTTTTGTTGTTTCCCGTTTCAGCGTGTGCAACTGATCCCATACGGACATCCTTCTTCCTGGGGGCGGAGGGCCTGAGAGTTGTTTTTGCGATCATGCAGATTTCAGGCTTCTTCGTGTGGGTGGTTCTTGTGAGCGTCGGCCGTGTGTGGAATACATGACGTAGGGCCTAGGGCAAAACATTGTTAGCTTAGTAGCCAAGCTGGTGTTTCTTCCAGTTGTTTGCAGCATTTGTTCTTGCAAACTTGCTTTCTGTTCGTACAAGTGGAAGAGCTCGGCTGAGAAATTTGGATCATCGGGATGAAGAGAAACACAACTTGCATGTACTTCTTCTGATTTTTGGCACAGCTGGAAGGCAGAGGCTAGTCGTTGCTTTCGTGCTGTCATTGTGCTATTGTTACTTTTGCGAATGCTGTCATTTGGCCTGGTGCTACTGCCACGGTTTTCATCTCTTCGCCGCAGTTTTGGGATTGGCTTCAAGCTGTTTGTTTCTAGCTCACCGTCGCGATGACAGATAGCGAAGTGAGTACAGATGGGGAGTCAGAGTGTTCAACGGTTGAAGTTGCGAACGTCGATTTGGCTGCTTCCTATCGCCCTGAAGGGGTGTTTCACCTCACGGAGACACTGACTGAGTCACAGTCTGCCAAGCCCACCAAGAGCCGGCATTTTACTCCCAACATTCAGGCGCTGGTCCTCACAACGATTCTTTTCACGGTGATAACCCTCGCACAACTGGTAGCGGCGCAGATCGCGAACTCACAAGCCCTGCTAATGGACTGCATCTCGATGGGCGTTGATGCACTCACCTACATGGGCAACATCTGGGTGGAGTGCCGGAAGCGAGACGGTGCCCCTCACGAGGGCTCCCAGATTATTGTTTGCGTTTTGTCATTGAGTTGTTTGCTGTATTGCACCTGGAGTGCTTCTCAGGAAAGCTTGGACACCATTCAGGGCTGCCAGGGGCTTGCAGTTAGCGAGGAGGCGCCGTCTGACGACGTCAACGGGAACATCACTCTGGCCTTTGGTCTGGGTGGAGTTGTGTTTGACGTCATTTCGCTTTGGTCGTTTCGCCGTAGCCACCGACACCTGCAGGCAGCTAAAGCAGCCTCAACCCCTTTAATCTCGAACCCCTTGATGCTTCACATTCTTGTGTACGACTAAGATAGTACCAGCAGCAGGGGGGTTAACATGCTACTTTCGAGAAGATGGTTGTCGAAAGCCGGAAGCAGCAACACATGTCGTGGCAGCATCCAGTCTGGCATCAGAAGCAGTCAAAGGTGCTGAGTCACAGTCGTAGTTCGAAATCCCAATACAAACAGCAGCCAAGGAAAGCAGGTTGAGGGACCTGCGGTGAATATGTTCACCGCTCTTTTGCACGTTGGGGCGGACTTCCTGCGCTCAGTGTCGACAGTTGTGATGTCCCTCCTGATCCTTGGAGTCTGAGTAGAAGCAAAGCTTTTTCCTAATCTCGGAAGCTGTAGAGAAGCATTTGGCCATATGAACTGACCCCACAATCAGAAAATCTGTCAGGATCATGTTTGCACACGTGGACTCCACCTGCTTGGACGCCTACACAAGCCTGGTGATCGGTGCTTCCATCGTGGCTGGAGCTTTCTTCGGCTTGGTCAACTTGGGAAAGCTTCTGAGGCAGTGGTCTCGGAGGATCGCAGCCAGAAGTGCTTCATAATCTTCATTAGTCGCCGGCTCATGTCGCGCAGGTCAGTTTACATTGGCTACAGTACAGTTGACCCCAAGAGCAGCCCGGATCTGATTGGCCCAGCTGAGCTGCGCACAGACGTTGATTTGTAAATCGTGCTGCGCAATTAAGGCGCGGCATACGCAAGACTTGTAGAATCTTGCCGGCCATGTGGAGGTTTCCGAGACGAGCTGGTTTCATGGTCTCGTATGTAGCGGTTGGCCGACAATCAGTCGGAAACTCCTAATGCTGAGGTTTTCCACAGAGCTTCTCTGTAAAGACAGGACGGCGTCCGGAACCTGGTGCTCTCGTTTCGTTTGAGACAGGCGTTGTGCGGCCACAGCCGCACATGTACCTGGCGCCAATATCCTGTGTGTAGATCTCTTGGTGGACGGGCTCTTGAGTCTCAGCGTCTGAGATGTGATGACACTTTGACGCCGCCGTACAGGGACCTTGAGGCCGACCATTTTGTTGAGTGAGTAGCGGATCTTTGGGCAAAGCTATGCAAAGCCACAGGTGCTTCTTGCGACCCCAGTGTTGCTTCGGAAAGGAAGATGCGACGACCACATGCAGTAATTTTGGCTGCAGCCAGCCCTTGTAGTGTGTATGTATAAAGGGATCTCAACGTCCTTTCTTTTGCAGACATAAGAGGTGTGAGTCATCAATTGCTAGCCAGCAACACACTGCTGGCTGACAATAAGCTTACTGTGAATGCCACGGGAAGTTCAGTATTTCGCCGTTAATTATTCTGCACTGAGCCATGATCACCCTGAATAAGCTGCAACGGTTGTCCAGCTTGCAAGCTGCCCGGCTTGGCGTCATCAAACTTGCAGCCAGCAGAGTGTGTACGCCAGCTCCACTATGTGCAGAAGAACCTGTGGAGGCTGATATTTCTCGGTTGTTGTTGATTGGCGCGGTGGGCGCGGCTGCTGTGGGCACCGGGTCGTGGCTCCTGAGGCCACGTGCCGAGGTGCTCTCTGATCGAATTTACCCGCGTGACTGGCGGTATGTATGCGAGGGGCAGCGCTTCCTACTCTGTGCTCCGAAGGGAACCGACAAGTTACGCGACTGGGGCCGCTGGGGCGGCTATGTATTGCAGCTGCGCAAGAGTCCCGGCGCGAGCAGCAACGCTATGGAGAAGCTGGACACGACGAACAGCTTGGACGGGCAAGTCGGCGTCCAGCGCATGCTCAGCATGGCAATTCCGCGACTTTTCCTCAGCATCCCAGAAATTGTTAGCGTGCCAGGCGCAGATGTCAGGGCTTTGGATGCGCACCTCCTAGCAGCCAGGCCTCAGAATCAGCGCAGGCAACGTCTGGATGTCCACGAAGAGCCTGGACGAGTTGCTAAGGTGCTTCTCCTTCGCAAAGAAAACCTGCTCGATGCGTGGGCACCATCTTTGTCGCTGGAGCTATCGCCTGGATGTGGTGTGAAGGAAATCGACGGCATGCCCTCCCGGCATTCCATGGCTTTCCAGCTTGCCAACGGCAAGGCCGAGCAAGACTGGAACTTGACACTCTTTTCAAAGAACTCCGCCGAGTGTGCAGGTGCTATTTCAAAGTCAGTTTTAGATCCAAGTTGTAACGGTTGCGAGGTCTTCGGCAGTGGCGGAAGACATATCGGTCACACAAATGTGAGCACACGTGATGAGCTGTTGCAGAGCCTTGGCCTGTCCCTGGAAGAGGTTGCAGAAGCAGGGGCCGCCATCTTATCAAGCCAGGACTCGGTGTTGGATTCTTTGCGGAGGCTGCAGGTGTTTGCGGCCGGCAACGCCGAGCGACTTGCGGGCCAAATGCTTGTGGAGCTGCGAAAGCATCGCAACGAAAGCCCAGATGGCCCGGATGTGCTCCTGCAAACCCAGCACTTTCAAGCCGCTCTGGCTGCTTTGGCCAAGTCTCCGCGCCGGGCCCTCAGACCTTCAAGCACGGCATAGCACGGCAGTCCCTTGCTCCCTTACCCTGAAAAATTCAGGGAATGCGATGAATGCGATAAACTTCGAACACGCTGAACAGAAAATCGTGGCATTCCGTCCCGAGGTTCCAGGGTGCCGGGCTCAGGGGACCTTGGTCAGAGCTTTCGGGGGAGAGTTCAGGATTTTGGGCAGCGTTTGCCGTTGAGCTTGGGCAGCTAGGGTGCTTTTGGAGTTTGAGGTGTGGGCTGTGGAGGTGTGCGTTTGGGACGTAGGCTCATGTGCCTGAACAGGCTCATACAGGCCATCAGGCCTTCCATCCATAACCAACCCCCTCCCAAAACCTGCGAACCCAATTTAAGGTTTGGGTTTTCAGGAACACTATGCTGAAAGGTTGCCATCAAGCACCACTGCCATCCAGGAGATCCATGAGAACGAGGCGTTGCGACTCTTGAGCACTTCAAGATGGAGAGCTCGAGAGGCTCCGGAAGCTTCGCGGTCCACGGGCAATTAGTGCCAACACGTTCGGCTCGACTCGTAAGGCCCCGAACTCATCCAAACTCCAAAACAATCCTAAGCCACCTAGCCGCCAAAGCTCCTGACTCTGAAACGTCTTAACTCCCTCACGGTGTGAAGGCAAACCTTGTGCCACCTTGTGCCAGGTCGAGGCGGCCCAGCGCCTCCCAGCTATTGAGGTTTTCGGGTTGAGGGTTGAGGCTTATGATTTTAAGGTTAGGCTTTCTGTAGGTGGTAGGGAGAAGGGCCCGAGTTCTTTCCTTGTGCAGTTGAGCAGGGATTCAGGGATTCGGTCTGTGGTGCAGGGGTTGCATGGTTTGGTGGTCTGGAGCTTTCTATAAGTTTTTTTTTTTTTTGGGGGGGGAGGGGTGTTGTTTGTATAAGCACAAAGCCTTGCTTCATTTTGCCACAAGCGCATGCGCCGAATTCTGAGCACGGATCTTCATCTCGGATCGGCATCGCTTGTGGAAGCCAACCCAGGCTCCTGCCTAGTAAGCGTTTATCGTTTAGAACTTAGTTTCTTCTTGAATTGGGGAACAAGCATACAAACACCGTCCAGCAATCATTCTCCAATTGAAAGTACGTCGTGGCAGAACCAATAAGCCACAACAAAAGAAAGCAACCCTGACTGCCCCGCCACTTGTTGCATCCGGAAGTTCCATGGAGTGATGATTCCGCACCATGCGAACCGTTTTTGTTCCCACAGTACAACGTCAGAGTAAGGTATGTCCTCCACCCCAAAGAGCAAAAACACAAGGAAGCTCATAGTCTTTCAGTTCTTGTGATGCGCTCCTGGGAGTCCCTCCTCTCAAAATTCAAAAGCAGCCACGCACCCATACCGACTTACACCTGAGCCTAAACCTGCAGCTGTCCCTGCGCAGCTTTGCCAAGGTTGGCTTTCTCTTTTCCTTCTTGGACGTGGAGCATTCCACGCCAAGGTGTTGCTCAACTTTGTTCGTCATTCCCAGGCGCGGCTGCAGCACCGGAAGCCCCTGCCACAGACTGCAATCTTACTGTGCAGAGTTTTGGGTGGGGTTTTGGGGCTAGTGCACTTGGCGCCATGCTTGAATTTAGGGGCTGACCTCCCACCCCAAATCCAAGAACCAACGCTGCACTGGGCCCCTGAACCCTAAAGGCACCGTCCTGAAGCCTTGTTGCGGAAGGTGGGCTCCGAGACCTTACCTGGGCTGCCGGCTCAGTGTCCGGGAAGAGCCTTCTCTGGGAGCTGTTCTAGGAAGGGCTCCTTCATGCTGTTGTTGCCGTCACAACTCGAATTAGGTAAGGTTTTAAGACCCTGACCCACCCCTATGCGGCAGTGGACTTGGGCTCTCGAAAATTTGTGGCAACGTTTGGCGGCGTGGAGCCGTGTTGGCAGCAAAGGATGGGCCCAAGAGGCTTTGAGGGTTCAGTTGTTTCAGGTTTCGTTCTTCGCTTTTGGGGCCCTCCATTGGCCGGGCATGGACTCAGCAGAAGTTTTCTTGCCGCGTCATGTCGTGACCTACTATAGGGTTTAGGCTGTAGTTCCGGAGTCATTTGGGCACATGTGGGTTTGTGGATTCACGCTTCTTATTGAGGGATACCTTGGTAAGCCTGCCATTCGGAGACGCAGAGCTTCAGGCCAGCCGCACGCTTTCGGCCGTTGTCACAATGGCTTCCTGACAAGAGTTCCTTGACGGCACTGCTTCTCTGCAGATTTGGCGGCTTCAGCATTTGTTTGTTTGTTTGTCTGTTTGTTTGTTTGTTTGTCTGTTTGTTTGAACACGAGGTTTCAGCTGGGGGGCTTGAGGTTGGCGGAACCAGCTCAGGGTTGGAGTTCAGGGCTCAGGGGTGTTGAATCTCAACACATCTGATGTGTTGAGACTTTACGTGTGTTTTACGCGTGTTTTGGAGTTGTTTAGAGTTCTTGGCGGTTTTGGGTGTAGGGCTCGAAACAGCGAATTTGTCAGCCCTGTCAGGCTGGGCAGCGGACATCCTCGCCGCTGCCCTGGCTTGCCTGAAGCATACAAGACATGCCCCAGGCCCTGGACAGAACCCTGCCATGCTCGCGCCTGCGAAACCTTTGCAAGGTGCGGACGACGGTGGTGGGTCGGTGACCTCAGGTGGCTACGGCCACTTAGCACTTGAGTGTTTTTGTCGAATATCGGGGCCTGACGGAGTACGGGCTGAAGTGGAGGTGGCTCTTGTGGTTGTAGGACCGAAGTTTTCTCGGGATGTCTTGGGACAGGCTCCACAGCGCACTCAGTGGTATGAACTCCCTCCACAATCTTCTGGATGTGTAGTGCAGCCCCGGATCAACACACATGAGCGCCGAGAAGTTGCTGCCACTGTTCAAGCCCAGAACTGCTGCTGGAATCCCAAACCGAGCATTGCCCAGGCCTCGAGCCCGCGTGTATCGAGGAGATAGACCTTTGCTCCGGGGAGCTGGAGACGATAGTGGCACAGTACCAGAAGGCATTCGGCATTTTCGGATTTGTTGTTGTAAATTTGGATGTTCGGGTTGCATGTTGGTTGGTTGATGTTTTTCTTTCGGTTTTCGGGTCTACACGCAGCGTGGACCTGGAAATCATGTGACTGTCGTAGAACCACGTGCTACCGTGCGGCTCGTGGCTGTATACAAACGAATGACATCTAGTATGCGTGCGCGATTATGATGTCGATGGCGCGACTGCCTACCTCTCCCTTCCCTGGCTACCAAACCCATCGCGATTTGAGATATTGGGGCAATTATACTGCCAATTCATCGCGTGTCACATGTTTGCATTTGCACTGTTTTTCAGCTAACGGCAGATGTCCCTCCTGTAACATTGCAGGTTCAGTGTAATCTTTAGCGGTGAGACTGAAGAGCTTTGCTTCGCAGGTTGCCGCAGCGTGACAGCGTCTCGCAACGTCTGGCAGCATGAGCCTTGTCTAGGCAAGGTGGCTCGTGCTCGACCGCAGTCTGCGCCTTGCCGAAAAACAGTGAAGCCGCTTGCCCCTGCACCTCGAGACCTGCACTTGCGAAGCATAGACCTGCACGTAGACGCGTCGGCCGAAGTCTGGAGTGCCCGGCAGCAATGCTAGGCACAAAATTGCAGTGCTTAAGCGCACGCCTATGTGCAAGGATTGTTCAGGTGGGGTACTTCTATCCGAGGATGTCCGAGGCAGCTGCGGGTGGCTCGAGGGATAGGCAAGGTGGTTCCCAATACGCTGGCATGGGCATCTGGAGCAAGCAGGGAGCTTGCCGTCCCTTTGCCGCCGCTTGGATCTTCTTGAGCAAGTATCTTCATGAGGAGATTTGTTCAAGGGAAGTTTTCTTGTCAGGTACCAATACTGGGAGTTGCTTCTGCCTAAGCCCTCCCTAAGTCCCGAAACCCTACAGTACGAACTCGGGAAGCCTCAACCCCAAACTCTGCAAGCTGCTTGACGACCAATGTCAGGTTTTCAGGGGTTAGGCTCACTCCTTTTTCCCCTGGTTCATGGTAGGGAACAAAGGAATGAGGGCCCTATCTATACCCTTAAGGGATTATGCAGGACCCTAATTCCCTCATTCCCTTCTAGGCACCAGCCAGTTTTTTTGCAGTTTAGGGTTCAAACGCTGAGGCCTTCGTGAAGAAGCGCTGGTCGAAGCGGCCGCCTCCATGTGAGGGCTTCTTGGAGTCCGAGGCGCCTAGAAAAGCCGCGAGAGCCACGGCAGAACAGAGAGCCGCCGGAGAGTACACAGACCTAGGCTCTTAGCCCTAAGCCCTAAGCCCTAAGCCTTAAGCCCTAAGCCCTGAGCCCTCAGCCCTCAGCCCTCAGCCCTAAGCCTTAAAGCCTAAGGCCGAAACCCTAAACCCTGTGATGAGTTGAGCCAGTGTCGAGTTGAGGCTCTTGAGCTGCCTCCTTAAAAAAGCAAAAGATGGGTTGCGTGATACAAGTACGCCTCATGTTCACGGGTGTTCGATGTTTCAGATGACGGCAAATTGAGCAAGGCCTGAGACCCCCTAGTCTACTCGTATGAACCCTTTGACAACCTCTGGAGGCGCCAGCTCTACCGGCCTACGAGAGGCTTTGGCACAACCGGTGCCGCCGCGAGGCCGGGGAGTCCTCTTGCATGTGACAGACGCTGAAAACTGCAGCGGGCCCTACTCGGGGCGGATTTTATAGCTCACATCGCTTTCATGGCAACATGCACTTCGCACCAGGCCCTGGCACTGATCTAAACTGTCACAACCGTCAGCCGATGCAGCGCCCACAATTAGGTTCACTGCGTTTCGGAACGTTTCGGAGCCCACGACCCGGGATCCAAGCTGCACTTCGCCAAATATCGGACGAACTGCGCCGCATTGGGCGGTTTGCATTTGGGGCAGGGCTTTGGATGGATCAAGCTGCCGTTGCCGTCAGCACACAAAGCGTCCACATTGGGCTTGCATTTGGGAGCCTTCTGGTGTCAGGTTTGTGGGACACACATCCCATCTTGCCCTTGGCACATGGATCCGACAAGAAGCGAAACAGTTTGAACACATTTTGGTCGGCAAATTAACTTGGCCAATCAGCCCCTCTATGAAGTCAAGTCTTGTTCAGGACTGTCGCGACTGTGTGAGGGTGTCTGCGTCTTCAAGATCAATAGCCAGCCGTGCCTTGCAATTGTCCCCAGACCGCGGGTAACACAGGAAAAGGGTTCTACATGCATGCAATAAAAATGCATGCAATAAAAGTGAACGTCTCTTTTGGGATTCGTGGGGAATATGTTCTACTCGGCATCTTCGAGGTTTGGGGGATTTCGAACTCCGTGGCTGACAAGGAAATCAGGCATCCGCATCGGGGTGCCGGATTTTTGGATTCGATTCTTCCTGCTGATGCGCATACCCCGCAATGAGCGTCCACACGGGGGTGATCTGCATGTCACCGCATGATGTATTTGTGACTCCCCCCCCCCTTTTCAGCCCGGCATGGTTCGTTTGAGGATCTGGGTTCCAAAGTATTGGGCCTCAACCCGTGTGAGTTGCAGCCGGTGTTTCGAGGAGGCTTGTGACGATTGTTTTCACGAATTCCAAAAAAATGTCCGATGCCCCGATTCACCATGATTGATCCATGTTGAGCTTCAACCTTGCAAAATTCCAAAGAGGTATGTGCAACTTAAACAACCCGCTCAACCCTTGCCGCGAAACGACAGAAACACATCGAAGTACAGAAGCGAAGCAGCACAAACCGAAAGGTGCTGCTGGCCCCTGAGCCGTCCCAAAGCCTTGGCGCCTGCGCCTGTACCAGAATTGCACGTGGGAACTTTTGTTGGTTCTGAAGGTTTCCCGCCTTTTCGGGTCAGGTGCTTCAAGGGAAAATTCGGAACTTGTTCAGAAGCCAAGCTCGTTGGACTTTGTGGAGGAAGACAGTTGCAGTACGGTGAGAAGCGCCCTGAATATGAAAACTCCAGTTCTGAGGATCGCGACCTAGGACCTTGGATGGGGATCTATTCACTTCGTGCCCCCCCCCCCCTTCCCCCCCGCCAAATGTAAAATGCGTGAACGCGTGAACCAAAACCCCAAAGGCCATAAAACCCTGAACCCTGAAGTTCAGGTTTGGTTGAGCTTCTGAGCTAACCTTCCAAATAGGCACCGGGCGCTGTTGCCTCGAGAGCTGCCTGAACGCCGTCATGCTCGTGGAGTGTGGCCCTCACACCTGTGCTTGGGCTGAGAATTATGGCTTTTTGGGCATCGGCTCGAGCTCAGATGTCAAGGAAGATCTCCCCCCAAAGCACACCAGCTGCACTGAACCCCAGACCGGAGGTGCTGTGGGAGAGGAGGCTGACTGCGAAAACCGCCAGTTTGCTCGGGCGCAGTTGGGAGACTTCGATTACTTGGCCGAGATCTTCTGGACTGGACCACTCAAAGGCCATCCGTGAAAATCTCCCTTCTTCCACCCTTCTTCCTCTGCCAAAGTTCTCGATTTAGCTTGTGCTTATGCTTGTGCCTGTGCTTGTGCTTGTGCATGTGCATGCGTGTGTGCATGCGCATGCGTGCGTGCATGCGAGTGCATGCGCGTGCATGCGCGTGCATGCGCGTGCATGCGCGCGAGTGCGTGCGCGGGTGTATCGGGGGGGGGTGTGTGTGTGAGAGAGAGAGAGAGAGAGCGCGCGCAGGTGGGTGGGTGTGTGGGTGGCTGGTTTGTTTCTGCTTTCAAGTCCTAAGGCTCCATCATCAGACTCTAGACTCTAAACCCTAAATACGTGAACCCTCGCCCGAAAGGCTTCGGTCTGAGGGCCCGGTGCACCATCCCAATTGGCCACTTCGTCGCCGAGTATGTGGGCGACATCGTCTCCCAAGATCGGATCTCGAATTGGCAGCATCTTGGCCTTAATCTTGGTCTAATTTCAACGCTACGCGACCCACCTCGGCCTGAGCTTCTGCAAGATGGGTGGGGTGTGGGGGTGCGTGTGTTGGGGTTTGGTGGGGGGGTGGGGGGGGGGAGGGGTGGGGTGGGGGTGGTTTTGGGCTGTTGGGGAGGGGATTGGAGGTGGGGTGCCTGCTTTGTGCTGCCTAGACTCTTGCGGCCCGAGGCCGAGGCAGATTTCTAGTGTCACCCGTTCAATGTATCTCTCTCTCTCTCTCTCATGTTGGTACTGTCCACGCTTCTTCAGTATCCCAGAACGAGGTATATCATGTCCCTGCCTGGTGGACTAGCCATCGACGCCTCAACAGCAGGGGGGCCTGCCCGTTTCATCAACCACTCCTGCCAGCCGAATTGCGTTGCGCAGCGCTGGCAGGTTGCTGGCCGATACCGTGTGGGAATTTTCGCAGCACAGGAGATTCAGGCTGGCGAAGAGATCACGTTCAGCTACTCGAACCGAGGGCAGTCTTCGTCCCATGCCTGCCATTGTGGTACACCTGTGTGCTCCGGAAGCATCTGGCAGCCGCCAAAGAGGCAGCACAAGAAGGCAGCAAGCCAGGCGAGGGTGCTTAAAGGGCTTCGTTTATTTCAGAAGGTCTTTGTTTTTTTCAAGAAAGAAAGAACCGCTTCTGACGCCCCAGAGAGCCAGTAAGCAGGCAGGACAAGCTATGGCTGCCCGGTCGCGCAAGCCAGCAAGGAGGCGTTGCCGAGTCAGGGTACAAGCTCCCTCCTGTCCTGGCATGCCGAAAACCTCAGAATCGGAGCATCTGAGAAAGACGCCCAAAAAGGACGCGAACGAGTCTCGGAGTGACGACGTTCCAAGCAAGATGGAAGACACCAAGCCAGACATCCAGGTTGATGGCCCGGTTCATCGCCCTGATGCGGGGAGCAGAGTAGCTTGTGAATCACACTGGGAAGAGCAGGATTGGCAAGCTAGCGAGCAGTTTTGTGAGGGCTTTTACTCTCAGCTGGGCTGGCAGCATGCGCCCAAGGAGGCAGCGAAGATTCTGGAGCAACAGCGCCTCCCGTGCAGCAGGGAGCAAGCTGCTGCTGCGAGGCTGGGCCTCTATTTACCAACAGCCTTGCTGTTGCTACGGGACCCCTCCGCGCTGGAGATGACTGCGAGATGACATTGCGAGATGACATTGCGAGATGACATTGCGAGATGACTTCTAAGGGCTTTTCAAGGCATTGTGGAAGATGGGTCAATGCGGCTACTTCTGCGTGAGCAGGAAACAAGTGATCGTTTTGCACCGCTGCCCGCAGTAGATAGCAAATCCACGTAAATCCAAGCTTCCCCGCACGGTCTCCTACGAACTGCAAGTCTTTGGGTGTGGATGCAAGCCCGCAGCTTGCTTCTGTGGCACATGATCGAGTTTGGCAGCGCGAGTGGCTCTAGCATGTCCGACTCTAAGGTGAATAGCCACTTGTAGTGGTTTGTTGCTGCTAGGTGAGCATTGTCGAAATTAGTTCGGTAGAAGTTCAGTCGCCTCAACGCACCTCAACGCAGATGCACCAGGGCCATGTTTAGAGTTTAGATATTCATTTTTATAAGTGTGGATGTGAGTGTATGTGTTTTCGTGCGTACGTACGTACGTATGTATGCATGATGTATGCATGCGTCGATGTGAATGTGTGTAGTTGTGTATATATATGTGTGTGTGTGTGTATGTATGCATGTACATGTAACTACCCTGTTTGATCTTGCAAATACAGCTGGTACAATGAGTACAATGAATACATCGAATATATCAAATACAATGAGTGTAATGGAAATGACGACTATACAGAATACAACGAAGTAGTGAATACTAGGACCACACAAGGAATACAATAAGTACTGAATATAGTTCTTGTGAGAATGTAATGATCATGGCACATAAAGAGCTTGTGTTGTCATATTTTTTTGGAATTAGGTGAACCATATTAGATTTCAGAATGTTGATTGTATGAGGTATCAGTTATACCAGCTATATGGTTTATATGAGTTTTCGGGTATACCCAGTATATGATGTATATTAAGTGTTCGAAGCGTGCTACTTGTATTACCGTCAGTTATATGTGGTTTTGTTGTTGTATAACTATATTGACCATGTTTGGTTGTATTTAACTATTCCAATTATAGTAATGATGTTAAGATATTTAAAGTATACTACTTGCACGAATTGTGTTTTCTGTATTGATAAATGTAATGAATGTCATTTTACTTATGTTAATCAAATTAAATATGTTAAGTATATGTGTATTAATCATGCTGATTAAGTTCCTTCTAATTATATTAACTATAAAGTATAATAATATTGTAAGTGCTTGTCATTATGCTTTTTTACTAGACTATTCAAATCCATGATTTAATATACATGTTCTGCATATTCCTGGTCTAAATGGCAGGTTTTTGTTTATTATAAACTTGACAGTGGTATTAAGTATACGAATCAAAAGACTTGAACTGATTCTATGAATTATATTTATCAAAATTTATGACAAAGGTCTGTACTGATTGCATACCGTACCTACTCACTGAACCCTAAACTTCTTACACATTGCACAGCGCGCTTGCAGCTCTGACGCAAAGATACCGTCAGATGGCCGACATGCATCCGTGCCTGATGGCGTGCTGCAAGCACCCCGGCGGCAACGGCATAGAAGTCCATCCATGGCTTGATTTAGTTTCTGAGCATTGGCATGTCTACGGCAAACAGCGAAGAACGTGGCTCCGTGCGCGTAGCGAAGTTGAAGGCTGGCCTCTGGCCCAGTAACTTGAGGTGGATAAAAGCGGAGAAGCATGTACGCCCAAAACCTAGCATGGGTGACTAACAGGGTGATACAAGCAGTCGTGGCGTCAGTGGGACGTTTTGCAGTCGAAAGATTTGACATGGCATTCCACCATCTTCTGCCCATCGTCTTGCCAGGATGAACCGTAGCAGAGGCAAAAGCAAGGAACAATGGCTATCGGCATTGCAGTGAACTGAGAGGAGCAAAAGTCCAGAATCGTTACTTGCGGGTTAGACAGAGTAGGTTAGTAAAACGGCCAGGGGTGAAACAGCTGGGCTTTCACGGCTGCTTGGATAGAGTCTGGAATAGGAAAGATGCCAGGGTTCAAATAGCTGGGCTTTCACAGCTGCAAGTTTGGCTCCTGTATTCCCAAGCAACGAAAGCTGGAAAGCATTCTCAGCTGCCGATGCGAAGTATGTGCTGTTTCGATTGAGAGTTGTTTCTGCGTAGTTTTCAGTGGACGGGTATTGCTGTTGAAATACTAAGTATGATCGAAAATGTTTTCACTCCTTCGAGTTTGATACGGGGGGGGGGGGGGGGGGGGGGGTAAGGGCCCGGGAGCCCGGGATCATATGTCTTATGTTTCTTAAATTTGGAATCGTCTTATTTTACATATATTATTGTGGCAACATAGTGCTCGAGTCGAGCCCCAACCTACGTCCCGCCCTAAAGCAAGCCACCGTAAGCCAGAAGAAACACACTCGTGCCCTAAGTGAACAAACCCAAGTCCCCCCGAGGATGTGAAGGCTGCGATGCCAAGGCTCGCAAGCCAGGAATCATCGTAGCACTAGGGCTGTGGGCTTGCCTAAGCTGCTACCTCTTCCTGTCGAATACCGGAGATCTGTGTGTGTGACAACAGCAAGTGTGACGACAACAACCGTTTCTGCTTGTTTCGGCTTCGTAGGCTGCAGCTAGATCTTCCGCGTCCAGGCTCCGTTGGGAGCCTACCAACACGTGGTGGCAAATTTGCAGTTGCAACATGAAGTCAACATGACCACAGGAGCTCCTTCAACAGTACGTAGAGTCAGCATTTTGGGCTTCAGAGCTTGAGGGCTGAGTGGGTTATAGTGGGTTGAGGGGTTCCTGGTTTCAGCCTCCTGTTGTCAAGCTTGCCCAGTGGCTCGAGGCCAGCGCTCTGCAGGCATCCTCCTCACTGAGGCTCCTGGGTCCTCAGCTTTGTATCCGAACTAAAATTCATTCGTTTGAGTTGAGCCTGTATGCGGTTTAGGACACCTTAAGCCCAGAAGCCCGAAGGACCGAAGGAGTGGATAAGGCTGAGGGCACAGTTCTCCATTGCGTGTCAGGCCCGCTTCCAGATCCAAAGGGACTCTCCGACGCAAGAAGGGGGAGGGTTGACGTTTCGGTGCGGTTGTGGTGAAGGCCTCAGATTTGATTGTTTGAGGGGGGGTTGTCCCATCTTTGCTCATCCGGGTCACCCATCTTCAAGAGTCCTCTCACCTGAAACCTTGGGGTTGCGGTTGTTTTTAGCCGTCGCTGTTGCGAAAGGATGCCCTCACAACATCCAGAGCCTAAAGCCGAAAACCTGTCCCCCAAGCCATGGGAATATGGACTGAGGGCCCTACCAACCTGAAATTCCAATCAATCCTCTTGACGGGCTTGATCTCAGGCTAGCCGCATCACGGTTTGCTGGGCGGCCCATTTCGGCCCTTCCCTTGGTACTCAGATTTGGATTCTCCTAATTTAGGCCACGTGGGGGAATTAGGCCTTGTGGGCTTAACCTTTATTTAGCCTGGCTGTTCGGGAGTGCAGTTGCAGTTGGAGCTTGTGGTGCAGGCTGAGGTCTTTCAGTTTAGGGTTGGGGGGGTTGCTCCGAGCGTGTGTGGGTTGCACGCTTCAACTGGAGTTGTCTAGAAGAGTAGTGTACTGGAGCTTTAGCAGAACTCTCGCTGAAGATCGCCCGCGAGCTGAGCATTTCTTTCCGCAGGAATATAGGCCATGTGCGAGAAAGAATCCACGAAGGGGAGCCAGAACTACAGACTCTGAAGAGGTGCAGTCTGAACCGACTCGCAGGCACCGAAGCTCCAGCAGACCTCCAGCGCTCCGAGTCTCTACTCGAGGCAAGCGATCCGTCATGTTTAGTCTGGGCCGAGGGTTCCCAAACCCCGAACTTGATGTATTCTATCGTTCAAGGTGCTTCAGGGTTTCGGGGAGCCTACAATGTGACCACTAACATGCCGAGCTGCCCCTCTCCCAAACCGACACCCCTCACCTCCCAAATGTCAGAGTGACAGCCCTGCGCCACTGACTTCTCTGGCTCGAGCTCATTGAGCAGAAACTTATCGTTTATCGTTTATTACCACTAGTTTCGGCGACGCGGGTCCCCGAAAAGCTGGAAAAGCCATGGCAAAGGCCATGAAGGCCATGAAAGCAATGAAGGCCATGAAGGCCATGAAGGCGCCAGAGAGTGGGAGAGGAGAGACTTGGTAGGGACAGGGGGTTCAGATGGAGATTGAGTGGCCTCCGAAAGGTCAGCAAGCGACCCTCGATGAAAAAAGTTTCCATGAAGAAGGTCAAGTCCAAGCATAAGATGCTTTACTGCAGGGCCGACAGGCCAGATCTCCGAATGCCATAATGGTCCATGTGTTCAGGGCTGTGTCTTTGGGGTATAGTGTATCGGCTTTCGTTCAGATATCTGTTTCAGTGTTTGCTGCTGTTGTCTGGGGTTGAAACCTCATGGTATGCTCTGCCTCCATCATACGTCAGAAGCCCGAAAACGTAAGGAGCAAGAGCTCAGTACCAGCTGGCCTTGGCAGCTTCAAGATCCGAATCGGGATCATCCACGGCAAGGCCAGTTAAGGGTTGAGCCATCGCCTCTCTCACAGTAGCTTAATTAAGCCTTGGGCATTTATTATCGTCTATAAGGCTCAATGTCTAGGACCAGAGTCTAGGACCCGCTCACCTCCTGGCCACGTGCCTGTCTTCATGTCAATGTGCCCCACACGTCCTGCAGCCTCTCATGGCCCGCAATGTCAAGATCCTTCACGCGACTGCCTTCTGCGCCCATCTGGCAGCCAGTGTCTGATAGTCCTCGCGGCCCACGTGGCGGGTAAACTTCTAAGCCCCCCTCAAGGGTACTTGGGGGATAAACCGTTGTTGCCCGGGCAGGTATTCGACCCGATCAAGGTCGGTACCCAAGATCGCCATTATCCAGCAAGCTCCTCAGCGTCCAGCGTCCACAGGCTCAGGTGATTGTTGCTTTGGGGTTTCAGGTTCAATGAGATCCAAGGAGCATCTGAAGATCAAGAACAACACGGGGCCTAACGCTGAGGGCTGGGGCGGCCAGTTTATGGCCGACGTGTCAACAGGCCAGGCTTGGAATGATGCCGGTCGACTCACTGACTTCTTTCTGATGATAAGCTATATTTGGAGCCATTAAAACCTAATTGATTTAAAGTATCCTGAACAACAAGGTGCACATTGCAATAGAGACCCATAAAGGAGCCATGACTTTAGATCCCGGCTCTTGACTACTGAGCCCCGAACTACCGAAACCCCGGGACTGCCCGAGCCACAAAGCTTGAATCCCTTTTTAAGAAGAGCGTTTTGGGTTTAGGGCCAGGGTTTAGGGCTTAGGGTTCAGGGTGTAGGGTTTAGGGTTTAGGGTTTGGGTTTGACAGGTCTGAAGATGATGAAGCTGCACCCAGATATCTTCCACGTGGACTTTATGACCATGGAAAAGGTGACGGAGAAGCGACTCTCCAGAAACCATCTCACGTTTAACTTCTGGGGCGACGTAAGCATCGCGCTGATGAATAACAAGCCGAAGCTAGCCAGAAGACTGCAAAAGATCCAGAAGAATCCGAACTTTCGGCACCATCCGGTCTGGGACTACTATGAGTGGATTCTGCACAAGACGCGCTACATGAAGGCATGTGAGAGAGCGGGCATCCCCATGATTGACACCATTCACTTGGAGAAGGGCTTCAATGCCAGAGAAGTCCTCAAGAAGATTCTTGGATGGATTTGGCAACAACTGCTTATTTCTTTCCACAGCTGTCAGCTTGAAGAGCTCAGTCTTAAAGACAATCAAGCATAGGATTGTCGCAAAGGGATGGGACAAGTTCTTCGTGAAGCCGGCCTACATGAGCTTCTTCGGCGCCGGCGTGATCAACGGAAGCTAAGCTGACAGCTTGCCATTCCGCGGTGTTCGGGTTTGGGATGAAGAGCCAGAGCATGTCAGAGCTGTAAGCTACAGCTTGATGGCTCCGACCTAGGGTTGGGTGCGTTCATTCCTTCAACACCTCTCTTACAGGCAAGACTCAAGACTTCATTGACAATATCGGGCCCCTTCTTCAGTACGAGGCAGAGAACAAGCATCAGAAGGAGCCACTTGGCTTGCTTTTATATCGCAATGTCGCGCGAAGGATCGTCCCAAACATGTTGCACTTGGCGAGCCGAAGTGCCCCCGAAAAGAGAACCGCTGAGGTTTCTGGTGCAGCCATACATGCTCAAGCCAAACGGGAACGTCTTCGACGAGATCCGGAACTTCTTCATCGACGGCGAGTGGGCCTATTCGGTTTACACCGATGGGGTGGACTACGAAGGCTTTTGGGAGCAACCCGAGGGCAAGCTGAAGGAGGCCTGCAAGAAGTGCCTTGGACTTCAAGATGTCCAGATCAAGTGTGCTTTGAAATGAGCTGTGGCACGCGCCTTATGCGCAGATGTGATTTTCTTTGTACAGGCTGGCCATACAAACCATGGAAGAAGTGAAGAAGGTTCACAAGTGGGAGGGCAAGCGCATGAATTCTCTGCTCAACCGCATCGACATTGGTATAATTCCTGACAAGTCGAAGAAGCTGGGGTATCGGATTTTTGTGAATGAGATCGAGCCACAGATCACGACCTGGCTGGGCAGATATTGTCCGTTTGTGATCCAAGATCGGATGGCCGAGGTGTGCGTCAAGCAGGCGAGTGAGATGCTTAAAAGAAGTCTGGCTGCGAAGCGGAAGATGCCATCGCCGCAGAAGGTTCGCCAGCTACTTGAAGTCCTAGATGCTTGGATGTGCTTGAACCTGAACTCTGTGTGTAAAGATGTGCTTGAACCTTACCTCTCTGTGTAAGAGCACCAAAAGAATGGCCCTCTTTGAGCTTGAACTCTGCGATCGAGGCGGGTGTATTTGGATCTATTTGGAGTCTCCAGGGTGAGCGGGGTCCTCCTGGACCCTACATCCTAGACCCTAGACCCTAGACCCCAGCCCCCAGACCCCAGACCCCAAACCCCAAACCCCAAACACCAAACCGCAAACCGCAAACCCCAAACCCCAAACCCCAAACCCCAAACCCCAAGCCCCAAGCCCCAAGCCCCAAGCCCTAAACTAAAGATCGGAGCCAAGGATGAGCGCCTCAAAGAGTCCTAGGCCTCGGACATGGGAGTTTCCTGTGTCGGCCGAGTGACCGAGTGAAGCCTCAGCTTGGTTCAAGGCCTGTTAGAAGGCGTTTAGGGTTCAGGGTTCAAGACCTACGAGCCAGGACATGTAGGATCATGGTAACATTGTTTCGTTATTGCTATGTCTGTGTGATTTTTTCCGATGCGGATGCGGGTGCAGTTCGTTTTGCTGCATGTAGGGGGGGAAGGGGGGCAAGGGAGTGGGTGCTGCGGGAAGGGGTGCAACGGTGCAAACGGTTTTTGCCGTTGGATGGGTTCCCTGGGTGCGGCCAGACTAAGGGGAGCGATGCTGAAAATCGTGCTCCCGCCTAGGCGCCGTGCGCATCGACGTCGCCATCCTCGTAGCTGTCGTCGCTTTTGGACGTCTGGGTTCGCGAAATGCGAAGTTGTCCCTGGCTTTTGAACGTCTGCGTTCGCCAAATGCGAAACTGTTGACGCTTTTGGACTTCGCGGGTCGCCGGATGCAAGTTGTCGTCGCTTTTGGATATCTGGAGAGCTCTGGTAGCTCGAAAGTCGCGTTTTGTAGTCCAATCGTACAAAGGGAGTACACGGAAGACGTCGGGAGCTTTGGTGGCTCGAAAGTCGACTTTTGGCACAAACATAGCAGGCGCAGGACGCCTGGAACAGCTAGCCCCTTGGAATGCTTTTGCATCTCCATATGGTGTCTCACTGTTTTGGGTCCCCCAAAAACAACAAAAGGATCAGATCGCTGTGGGTGGGCGGGTGTCCGCCGGCACCCACTGAAAAGGAAACAAACAGGTTCACAATGTGCATGGGGTTGCTACTTTAAGTGTGCTTAATGATGAACAAACTAGCTACATCACCTGCAGCAGGGAGGGGGCAGGGGAGTCTGAGCCGGCAGTCTGTGCAGCCGGGGAGACGCACGCCCTGTGATTGGGTAGGCAACTCGACATTGCACGGAGTTGCTGAAAAAGAGTGCTGCTCATGCTGCCGAATCTGAAGCTATCCTGACAACGTTGGAGCGACGGTCTGCAGAAACGTGTTCTGCATATCGAATCTTGTTATGCCTGCCATAGAGCCAGCAATTGTGAATGTTGAACATGCCCGGTTCCGCTGGGTAAGATATGAGACATCATGAGACACTCTAAATCAGCTCTCAGCTCTCTTATTACTTCAGAACCCCACACTAGCCGCGATCCCGCACATCTTGTGCAATGCCTCCAGGCACTTGAGCTCCTGCTCCGACGCTTTGGAAGCATGGGCCTGTGACGAGCTGGATCCAGGTGCCCCCCCTAGCATTGCTCTGAGTACCGGGGTATATATCCCGGAGGTGGAAATCTACAGAGCTCAAAGCGAGGTTTTCAAGGCTCACTTAGGAAGCCTTTGCCCGGCCAGGTGGCTCTGCAGGGGCGTCGCAGTTTGCACGCAGCCATGCCTGCACCTGAGCCTCTTCTGACGTGTCTGAGTCTCTGCATGAGATGGTCAGGGTCACTGACGCTGGAAAAGGAATGACCTTTGGGACAAGAAAAAAACTAAATAAATAGATATAAATAAATATATATATATATATATATATACATATATTTATATGTATGTATGTATAACATCCAAAAGTAGAGCTAGGACCTGCGGACCTCAAGCTGCCTAAAATCCTAATGTTGCTCGTGAGGCCTGCAAAGGTGACTTCTCAAGGCCTCCGAGCAGCACCTGCAAGACCTGCGCTATCTCCGTTCTTGAAAAAAACCAGCTCACCTGTAGTGACTCCCGAGTGTGTTATCTTTGCTGGGCTAGCCACACCATCCTAGACTTTCGGCCAAGTCCTTGTTGGAAAGATGGCGGGGCCATGGGCAAGTAGCTAGCAACGCTGGGGAGTGGACTTTGGCATCATCATGCTGATGTGCTCACATCTCGGGGCCGTTACCGGCAGAGGTAGGTGTACGTGTAGTTCCTGGGCGCAACCGGATCTGCGAAAATGTACTGAATCATGTAGGTGGCTTCTCCGCCTCCCTCAATGCCAGTTTCTGTGGCTAGACTCTGGCCATCGAACTGCCCAGCCTTTTTGACATCACGCGGCAACCGCATTTTCAGATCTACCCTGCTATGACAGTCAATGGAACCAAGCCAGGCTGCCAAGCTCCTAAATCCCCCTGAGCCCTAAGCCACTGCCGGGCCACAAGTCCCCATCTACCAGGGCGCTTGATCCTTGCCATCCACCCCGAACCTTGAAATCCCTGAACTCACCCTCCTTTAGTTTGTTGGGTTTAAGGTTTAGAGCTAGGACCCCAAGCCATCCCAAACCCTTTCATCCTTCGTCCTGACCAGGGGCAAGCTTGTGAATGGACTGGCGCCGTCCACGGCCTCCATTAACAGGAAGGTTGAGCAGCTGGAGGCCACTCAACAAAGAAGGTTCTCAGACTCAGGGTTTGCGGCTTGGGTTTGCGACGGTTCCCCACCATCGGCGGGCTGAAAGAGTCGCGCGTCTGGTTAAAAGGTGTTAGCAGGTCACGTTCCTGCGGCCCATTGAGGCCAACAAGAAACTGTCACCTCTCACACATTTTTGAAGATGAGGTCCGCCTTTTGAACAGGTATCCTATAGCTGCCACACAAGATCTTCGACCCTCCGTAACCATCTTCCGATTTTGCTTCATCGTACGTTGATCTTCCGCGGCCTGGACATTGTAGGACCATTAGGACCTGGCCTTATGCGGGGCAAAACCTTCAAGTCCCCACCCGCCAACCTGCAAGATGTGGGCTCTTATGAAAACAGGGGACCCCTAAAATAGACCCCCAAATAGTAGGATCCCTCATAGTAAGGACCCCAATAGGGTACCCCGAATTTCGGAAACCCCCATACGGAGGACCCAGACATCTTGCCTCCGATGTCGCCGCTGTCGAGGGCGAAGGCCGGGGTTAGCACTCTTCGGTGTTAAAGTTTTAGGGTTTATAGTTTAGGGTTTGGGGTTTGGGGCTTTGGGGTAGGGTGAGGGTGAGGGTTGAGGGTTTAGGGTGTAGGGTTTAGGGTTTGGGGCTTAGGGTTTAGGGTTTGGGGCTGAGGGTTTAGGGTTTAGGGTTTAGGGTTTAGGGTTGTGGAGTCCAGGTCTAGGTTTCACACCCCTCAGCCCCAGCAAAGCTTGCCTGGTTGCGAGAATTGCTCCTCCCACCCCGACCCGTTCTAAGCCTCACCGTGCCAATTTGTTGAGGTCGTCAGTGTAATTTGTTTTGGGCGAGGTCACAGCCCAGCTCTTTGGACGAACAGATTCCTCAACTTGTTAAGCCAAGCTCCATCCTACAACGCTGACACCAAAACCCACAGGCCCAGAGGCTTCCGTGCAAACAGAGTAACACCTCAATACAGAGCCCCCCAAAGGCAGAGCGACGCTACACCGTCGCAGAGCGACGTCGCTCCATGGGCTTCGGCATGCTGGACGCGTGTAGGGTTTACAGTTTGGCGTTTCAGGTTGGGGGTTGGAGGGTCATAGGTTGGGATAGGAATCCCCCCCCATTCTAATCCCTATCGAGGACTGTTAGGTATAACATGTCAAGTCATGGGGTCTAGCTTCGCGGTTTCGGGTTTACGGATTTACGGTTTATGGGTTGGGGCTTAAGAATTAGAGGCTTCGGGCCATGTAGGGCAAAGTTCATGGGTTCAGGGTTTGGGCTCGATCAATGGGTTGAGTTTCGGGGGTTCAGAGCAAAGTGTCTGGAGGATGTGATAGAGGTCGCGGTAATCATGATAATCATGGTGAAGCGCCTTGTGCGTTTTGAGCCGAGCGTGATGTGCTGAATTCTCGGGCTTTAGGGCCGAAAGGTCGGAATTCAGCTAGGCTACTGTTGTGAAACCTTCAAAGTCTGGCTGGCTCATCATTCTCAGGGAAAAGTTGTACCAAGTTCTGGTCCAATCAGCACTCCTGCTGAAGGTAATGACATGCAACAACTGAAGTCCATAAGCCCTACGCTACCTCATATCCCAGACCGCGTGCAACCGTAAACCCCAAAGACAAAAGTCGCCACGCCAGGAGATCATGAGCCCGAGTGACGCCATGAAATCCTTCGACATGGTGGAGTCTATCCTTCAGGCCTGCCTTGAATGCGGTGTTGGGGTTGAGGGGTTCATGTTTCGTATGGGTACTTCGGCGAGGCGTGCTTGAGGACAGCCATGTGCCAGGTAGGATAAAGCACTCAAGTGGGTTGTAAGAAGCCTGCCCGTTGAGGAGCTCAAAAAGACGTTCCGCGAAGACGAAGTTGGCGAGGATGTTTCAGAACGTGTTGTGAGAGCACGTCAATCCAGTCATGTGGACAGCGGGGGGCTGCCCCCCCCCCCCGCCCAACCCGCCCAACCCCTGGGCATTTATTTGGACCGTACGAATCCTTTCTTGGGGGGGCATACGAATTCTTTCCAAGCCCGTCGTGCGAAATTTGCAATTGCTGCCTGTAGGATTCGGAGCTCTTTCGAGCTGCTTAATATACGTCAGCAGCGTGAATTGCAGTTTTTGTGCAGGCTTCGTAAATTTTGATGCTACGTGACCCGCCTCGGCCGGCCTAAGGAGGTAATGTTTGGCTTCCCGCGCTTTGAGTGATGTGGTACAACAAGCAAGCAAGTCCTGATGCACCATCCGCTCCCGGACACCTGTCGCCTAATGGGGGAGTACCCCGGCGGATAACTTGCAGTATTTTGAGTACTGGAAGCGCTGCGCAATCTCCAGTGTTTGCAGT